GGGTGTCCTCTCCCTGCTGTCCACTCTAACGGGACAGCTCCTGCAGTCTCAGCCCGGGTGAGGGCGCGTCAGACACCGGCAAATGCCTGAGGGCCTTTCGTTCAGCTCAGCACCTCTGCCCACCCCCCAACAGCCTGAGTCCCCCAGCCCTCTCCCTCTCGGATAAAGAATACCCAGGGCTGGGGGAGCTGGGGGACTCTGGGTATCTGTGCCCACTCTCACCCCAGGTGGTTGCCCCTAAGTAGGGAACCATCTGCTGATGTACCCTTGGCCCTGAAGCTGAGGTCGGTTGGGGGTGGAAGAGGTACAGAGCCCACCTTTCAGGCTGCCATGATGAGTCTGGGGTCTGGTGGGAATGGGGTTCCTTCTGGCAGGCCTGGGGGCCCGGTCTGCTCCGTGTCCAGCTGTCCCAGCCCCAGTCAGCAACATGGCCTTTGGGAAGAGGCTGAGGCACGTGCTGGGCTGCCTCAGGAGGGACTGGGAGGGGCTGTTCCCATACTGGACTGGCCCTGGGAGTCCAGTGTGGCAGCCATGGGGTGCCCCCCTCAGACCTACCCAAGCGACACCCTGGCTGCACACCTGCAGGGCCTACTGTGGCACCCACGGGCCACCTGCCTTTCCCCAGGCTCTGGCCGAGGGCTGAGCCCAGGGCTGCCAGAGCCCGGCCGTGTTTGCAGACGCGGAGCTCACCAGGCGGGCAGCTTGTGCCCGGGTCCCCTTGGCCTGGCTGAGATGTCCTCAGGGCTTCCCTGGGCCTGAGACTCGTCCCCCGCTCTCCCCTTCCTGCTCGTCCAGGTGGCCTTGTGGGCTGCAGGCTCTCCCTGCCAACCCTGCGCCTTCTCCCGTCTATCCTTCACGCACTGTCCAGGAGGACCAGATGCCTACAGCCTGAGGAGGGGACAGTCCCCCCAGCCAACGGGTTCCTGCACCTCCCACAGCGCTGGTGGTTGTCCGGGGTGGGATGCTGCCCAGGGGAAGATGCAGCTGCCCCGGCAGCAGCTTTGGGGGCTCTGGGGACAGTGCTTAGGAGGCCTGAGTTCCATGCTCAGCCCCAGGGTCTGGCACAGTCACACACCGGCTCTGGCCTCCTAGTTGGCAAACGGGGGCTGTCTGGGCCTTGCTGGAGATCCCTGTGGGCCTTGGTCTAGTCGGATCATAACTTCCCAGTCCTCTGTGGGATTGATAGGATCTCAGGGCAGAAGGGCCTCTGGAAATCATCCAGCTCTACCACTTAAATTGAAAAGGAGGCACAGAGAAGTCAAGTCTCTTTCCTGAAGCCACACAGTAGGTCTGAAGCAGGCTGTCCAGGACCATGGCCCGTCCTGGGCATCTCCTCATCTGACTGCTGTTTCCCTATGGCCTCCACAAAACCAGAGGGTTCTTCCTCCAAGAGTCACACGAAGGTCGGAGCTCAGCATCCTCCTCTCAAACCCACAGCCCTAGAACCCCAGAGCCCCCACCTGATGTGGCAGGGCCCTCCCCAGCCTGGTGTGACCACCCCTTTCTGGATCTGCTGACCCTCCTGGCTCCTCCCAGGTCCCCGTGAGCCTTTTCCCTTGTCCTCCTGAGGTCCTCTCTTCTTGCTGATGGCACGGGGACTTCTCTGAGAGGCTTCCCGGGCACCAACTCGGCAAGCGCCCCCTGAGCCCCTTGGCGTGAAGCCCCACTTCTGCACCATGGCCTCGGGGGGGCCTGGCTCCGAGAGCACCCCCGCCTTAGAGCCAACCCGCACGCGCCCAGGGCTGGGGGTCACATCTTGGCTGCACCACTGCCTGGGCGGCCAGCTCGCTGAGCTCCTAAGGTCGGGGGAGAGCGGGTTCTGAGTCAGACCTGGGTTTGAGCCACGGCCTGGCTGGGCAATGGCTTCACGTCTCTGGGCCTCAGCGTCCTTGTGTATAAAATGGGGGATTAAAACCCACTTCAGTATCTGAGGATGACCCTGGATAATGTACGGAAGACCTGGGACAGCGTGTGGCCCAGTCTGTCCTGATGCTCTGAGCTGCCCCTCCCATCCCACCCTGCCTTAGGGTCTGGCTCAGGGGTGGGCACCAGGAGATGTTTAAAACCCCGCTGTGGAACTGGGGGGTGGCACCACAGGAGGCCACCTGGGGGAGACCGAGTGAGACCTAGCTCTGGATTCCCAGGGGGACACGGCAAGGGGGCCAAGAGGTGGGGGTGCAGAGCTGGAGAGACAGCAGAGGGAGGCCGTGGCAGGGGGTGGGGAAGGAGGGACAGAGGGGGACCCCAGGAGGGAGGCTGGTTAGAGACCCAGGAAGAGACCCAGCGGAGGTGACGGCTCCGAGTGGCGGCTGAGGAGATGTGCAGAGATGAGGGACATCCCGACCCTCACAGGCAGAGTCCGGGGATCACAAGTCCAGGAACTGGGCAGATGGAGGGGGGGAGGGGGCTCCCTGAGGGGCACCAGTCTCCAGGTCCTCTGGGACTGACTGACTCCCCACCGTGGGGAGATTTCCTTTGGGGATGCAGGCCTTTGGGGGCTCTCATTTTCCAAGGTCACATCCATTTGTGAGCCCCATGAATGCCACCCTGGAGTCCTGCTGCCCAGGGCTACGGCCAAGGAGCTGGCTATGCCCCAATCGGTGGGGGCTCTGGGACAGGCCATGCAGAGACCCCCAGGCCCCGGTGGAGGAGCCGGGGTGCGGCAGGGGAGGGACATCTGTGCTCTTGTCTTTAAGCCAGCCGGCTTTGAGGGCTACTGGAGGGGGCAAGGGCGAGTGGTCAGCTGCGGGAGTCTTTCTGGAGTGGAGAGTCCCTTCTGTGTCCTTGGCTTGACGGTCTCCATGGTCAGGCAGCGCCCAGCTCCTCAAAGCCAGCTCCGATGGTGAGAAGGTCCTCGCCGGCTGACACTGTCGCTGTGGCAGTCTCGACTGTGTGGCGTGTGCGATGTCTGAGTGCGTGGGCGGGGAGCCGGCTGTAAGGCAGCCCGAGGCCCTGGGCTGCCCAGAGAGAGAATTCTAGCAACTTTTCTCTGTAGCCCCAAGAGAAGCAGAGGTGGGGTTTCTCTTCTCCCCTTATTTGATCATAAGCAATCTCTGCTCCGCACAAGGACTTCCGACCAATCCATTTATTCGGAGATGCTAGGAAATCAGTCCCTGCCTCCCTCCGAAGAGGGCAGTTGGAACCCAAAGCAGGTCACTCATGGTGGAGTGGCAGGCCGTGGGGTGGGGAGAAGGCTGGGGGAAGGCCACGTCTCTGGCTCTCATTTCCCACTGGAATCTCTTCCTCTCACCAGAGCTGGAGGCTCTTGGCAGGGACAGAACAGCTCCCCAGGCCTTTGTACCTGTGAACCTCAGCACCAAGCAAGTCCCAGCTCAGGGCGCAGGTCCAGCTGTGGGTGGCTTGCTGTCAGCCACTGGGCAAGTCACGCCCCTTCTGGGCCTGCATTGCCCATGCAGGAAAGGCAGGGTCTTCAAAGGCCCTTCACTTGTGACCATCTGGGTTCTGGACCTTAGACCCTCCTTAGGACCTGGCCAGGCCTTAGGTCAGGACAAGGTGGCTGGACTCCTGAGAACCCAGTGGTCTGAGGCCAGGAGAAAACCAGCCTCCTCCATCTGCAAGGAACAGGAGCCTTCTTGGAGCCAGAGGCCCCTGACCCTCTTCCATCCAGTTCCCTCGGTGACAGGTACAGAAACAGGTCTGGGCAGAGGAGAGGCTGGCCTGAGGCCCACAGCAGGTGAGCCTGGGGCCTCCTGCCACTCTGTGGTTAGCTGGGTCTTGAGGGTAAGTTCTGGCAGCATCTGATGGAGGTGAAAACTGAGATAGGTTCTGGAGGAAAGAGAGCAGGAAGAAGTGGAGGGGTGGGTGTAACTGGCAGGTCTTCCGGAAGCCCCGGGCAAGGCTGGGCGTCAGGGTGGGCCACCTTGTGTTTGGTCCTTGATGGACAGTGACGGAGGAATCCTCTCGGGCCGTGGCTTAGCCAGGCTGGATGCAGCTGTAAATCTGTGTAATGTAAATGCATCCCAGGCCCCCCAACCCCCACAACCCAGAATAGGCAGCAACATGTCATTTTAACAAGGCTGCAAATTTCCTTGTCACCCAGGAGGTTGACAGCCATCGCCAGCACCACCTCACTGAATCCCAGACCCCTCGGGAGCCTCCCTGGGCCAGCATGGCACACGGCTTGGCTTCCTCTCCCCCCAGGTGGATGCTTTCTGAGATCAAGGCTCAGGCGTGGGGAGCCGGAGCAGTGTAAGGCCACGGCACAGGCCGGGCTCACAAGTTCTCAGCTTGGCCACTGACTGGAACCCTGGGCCTCCTGCCCACTGAGCCTCTGCTCCCTGGTCCCCAAATACAGGTGGAATCCAGGCAACTCCAGAGCCTGTGTGTTGTCAGGTTCTCGCTTTGGTGTAGTGGCTGGTGGCAGAACCATCCCGGCAGCCATGTTGCTGGGCAGGGGAGCACCTGAAAGAGGGGGTAGGAGGCTGGGGTGCTGCCAGGACAGGGCAATGGTGTGGTCCAGGGAGGCCTGAGGGCCTAGACACCAAGCCACCTCTGCCCTCCCCTCCCGGCCAGCTCCTCCCCCTCCCCTCCCCTCCTCCCCCTCTCCCCTCCCCCTTCCCCTCCTTCTTCTCCTGCCCTTCCTCCTCCTCCCCCCTCCTCCTCCTCCCTCCTCCTCCTCCTTCTCCTCCTCCTGCTCCTCCTCCCCCCTCCTCCTCCTTCTTCTCCTCCTGCTCCTCCTCCCTCCTCCTCCTCCTTCTCCTCCTCCTCCTGCTCCTCCTCCCCCCTCCTCCTCCTTCTTCTCCTCCTGCTCCTCCTCCCTCCTCCTCCTCCTTCTCCTCCTCCTCCTGCTCCTCCTCCCTCCTCCTCCTCCTTCTCCTCCCCCCTCCTCCTCCTTCTCCTCCTCCTCCTCCCTCTCCTCCTCCCCTTCCCTGCCCTCCTCCTGGGCACCTCCTCCTGCTCCCCTCCTCTGCTCTCCTGCGGCAGCTGTTAATTCCACCCTCTCTCGGTGTCATTTGCTGTAGAGTTGGCCCCCAGCCAGATTTGCATTGATGGTTTATTGATTTAATTAAGCAGGGGCTGTAAGGGATGTCTCCCTCCTTGGTGTGAGGCTGGGCAGAGCCGGGATGGGCATTCACAGGGCAACTGGCTGTTATTAAATACCCAAGGAGGCTGCTGGCTTCAGGGGCAGCCTGTTTGGGGACCGTGGTTCCTGCGACCTCCGTCTGACCATCCCTCTGGAATTCCAGCAGCCGTGCCATTGCACGTGGTGGGCCCAGTTCGGTCACAGCTCAGAGCTCTGCCAGGGGAGAGGACCTTGAGGACGGTGGCAGAAGGACCAGGGAGCCTCAGCCCTCCCTCAGGCTAACCCCTGCCCTGGTCTGGATCTGGCTCCAGGCCCTCCTCCCTGGGTGATCCGCCCAAGCTCTGCAGAGGTCCTCCTTCCTCCTCCACCAGAGCCGCAGTCCTGGAGGCCTGTGCCCGCGCTCCCTGCCCACTCTTGCTTGGCATCTTCCAGATGCCAACATGAAGGGGCATTTGCTGCATCTGCAAAAGAGGAAGGAGTGACTTTAGATGACCTCCATACTCCCCACCGCCTCCCCCGGCTGAGTTCCGGCCCAGCGGCACCTCGGGCTGCTCTCCTGCGCTCTTTCTGGATATCAGGATGAGGTTGCTCAAAGCCCTGTCTAGCTGGGTCTTTCTGCGCATGCCTGGGGAGACATCTTAAGTTGAGGGGTGCGGAGCGCTGGGCTGGTAGGGTCCAAACACCCCGTGGGGCCAGCCAGTCCACACTGGCTCTGCCAAACAGGCTCCCTGTCCCCACCTTGGAGGCTGAGTGGCTTGCCTCAGGTCACACTGAAGTGCAGAGTTTGGTTTGAGTCCCAGGAGGGGTGACAGTTAACCTGATGAATGTCCCTTGACATTCTCCCCACCCCGCCCATCCCCAGAGCTCCAAGGAAAGGTCTGCCTGGGCAGTGGAGGAGCCTGGGGAAAGAAAAGCTACAGGAGGTCTTTGACCCCATCCTTTGGAGAGGAAGACTGAGGCCTAGGTTGGTGGGTAGAAGCTCTCCACACTTCCCTGGGAGCCAGGAGGCTGGGCGAGGGGGCAGAGCATGGCAGTGGTGTCTGCAGGAGCTGGGTGCGGGGGACATGCCTCGTGGCTCAGAGCCTAACAGAGCCCCCGAGAATGCCGAGGCCCAAGTGCCGGGTTTCTGTTCTCGCGATTAAAAGGCTCAGGGGTCACTCCAGTTGAACTGGGCTAACTGGGCTGCACGAAATAACCACACAAGAGACACAATACCTTTTTCTTTGGGTTCGCTGTGATGGCTCCTCTGACCTTAAGGGTCCGCAGCAAGAGAGAGAGCGAGAGCACATGCTGACCCCTTTTATTGAGGAGAAGCTATTCACGGGGTCAGGTTTCAGGGGGCTGAGTCTATCTTCATGATGTCCACTGTCAGCAGGTTGACTGACACCTGGGTAGGCCACACCCAAGGGCACAGTAAGAGAAGGGGACACACACAAGGCACTTCCATGGAAGATTCTATCCTAAACAGGGCAAGGGGTGATATTACAAAGGAACAGGTGAGCACAGCTTCACCCATGGGGCTGTAGCAAGACACACCCATGCACGAGACACCTATCCTTGAACCCAAGAAGGGTGGGGAAAGCTCTGTCACATTTCTGCGACTGAGTGCCTCAGCACTCAGCTGGGGAGTGTGACTCAGTCAAGTGCAAGGTTGGTCTCCCACACCCAAGGTCACACAGGCCTGGTGGTCTCTCACGGGCAGGGTCAGGGGTGTTGCCTCAGTCACCAACCTGCCTGCTCCCAGGCCTGGGCACGCTTCTGGAACCCTGGACGATGTAGGTTCCCAAGCCCATTTCCCCAGCTTAATGCTGTCCAGAGGGCCCAGCCCATTCCTGCCAAGGCAAGTGGCCACCACCCCTGGTGTGACGTGATCAGGGCTGTTACCACATGGGACTCCTGCCACCCGCTCAGCTCTCTGAGTCTCAGCCCCCCGCTCACCCTCCCTCTTTTTCTACCTAGCCACCTGGACCAAGGTGGGCAAAGTTAGCTTGCTGGGGACCAGGTGGGCATGAGGTAGAGGGCAGGAGGGCGGGCAGGAGCTGCCCCTTGAGCCTAAGCTAGCAGCACATCTGCTCCGTCTCCCACCCTGGCCGCTGCCTCCCACCCCAGCCCCTCTCAGCCTCTCATGCCTGGCTGCCTGCTTCTTTCTCCCCTCCCCAGTCTGCCTAGTTCTCTTTGCTGTTTTTCTCAGCTTCCTGCATCTCGGCTTCTTCCTCTCTCCTCCCTCTTCCCTTCCTGGGTCTCTCAGAGTGGGTCACCTGGGCTCCTTAGTGTGCTCAGGACCCCTGGGGGAGGGGGAGCCTAGATGGGATCGCGGGGCTCAGGGTGCAAGGCAGGGAGGATTTGCCTTCCCCAGCCGACCTCCCTGAGCCTCTGCCTCCTCATCTGCAAAGTGGGCAGAGGAGCGGTGGCTGGTCTGGGGGGGTGAAGGCTGAGGACAGTGCTCTGCCATGTCCAGGTTCAAAGCTACCACCTGTTCCCAGGACTCCCGGCAGCCCTGGAGGATACAGCTTCCCAACTCGTTCCCCCAGCTTGAACCTACCCACTGGGCCCCATCTGCATCCATCGAGTTGTCCCAGGGACGTGGTCTCCACCTGGGGCGACATGATCATTTGCAGGTCAGTCACAGATGGGGCTTCTGACACCCGACTGAGCTCCCTAAGTTCAGTTTGCTCATCTGCAGAACAGGGAGAGTAAGGCCTTCCTGGGCCCCAACAAAGATCCTGCAGGGCCCTTGGTGCATCCTCCAGGATGCCAGAGAGGCACAGCCCGGACCGTGGGCTGGCTCCTCCTACTGAACCCTCCCCTGCCACACCTTTCCTGGTCCCGCCCACGACCAGCACCTGCATCCAGGTGGTTTGCTCACTCTTCCTCACCTGCAAAGTTGCAAAAGCTCCCAAACTGGTCGTTCCATCTCTCTTCCCTGCGGTATTTCTTGGTATAAAGTGCTCATATTCTCAGTGTATAGCTGATGGGTTTGTACATACGATAAACTGTGCAAACGGCCCACAGATGCAAGACTTCAATAGCCCAGGAAATGCCTTGTGCTCCTTCCAGCCAATAATCTCCCCAATCGATGCTATTGAAAAACCACTATTCAGACTTAAACCCCCAGAGTTAAATTCATCTTTCCTTGAGCTTCACGCAGGTCTCCTGTCTGCCTTCCCTGAAACCCATCCATATGGTTGCATGCATCTGTACTTTGTTCTTTTCCCTTGCTGAATAGTATTTCATTGATTGAATGTACCATCGTTTATTTATCCATTCTATAAGAGATGGGCTTTGGAGTTGTTTTCTGTTTGTGACTATTAGGAATAAGATGTTGATGACCATTTTGAAGATGTTCTTTGGCAGTCAACTGCTTTCATTTCTCTTGGGTAAATACGTAGGAGTGGAATTGCTGAGTTATACACAGGCATGTACTTCGCTTCAATAAATATTGCCCAACTGTTTCCCAAGGGATTAGACTAATTAATACTGCCACCAGTGGTGTATATTCATTCTGGTAGCACCACATTCTTGCCAACACTTGGAGTTACCATTGTTTTTTAATCTTAGCATGTTTGGTGGGAGTATAATAGCATCTCATTGTGGTTTTGTGTTTCCTTAATGATCAATGCGGTTGAGAACTTTTCTCCTAATTATTCCATAGCTGGATACTGTCTTTGTAGAGGGCCTATTAAAGTCTTGTCAAAGTTTTAAGAAGTGGATCATCTGATTTTTTTTTCTTGATTTAGAGTTACTTCTCTCTCTCTCTTTAAATATTCTGAACTTGAGCCATTTATCAGGTATGTGCTTAGGAAAGGTGCTTTTCTGTCTTCCTCAGTCACCTTCCTTCCTACCCTCTCAGAACCCCTTGCCACTCCCCAAAGTTTCCAGGGACCTCAATGTGGGGTGCCCCCTACCAGGTGGGACTTACCTCTTTTCCACGTCACCAGGGCTTGCTCTCCAAGACCCGAATCAAAGTCCACATGCAGAAAATCAGCCCCTCGGCTCGCTCCCTTCCCCACCGTGGCTACTCTGTTCTGCGAGCATCACTGGACGCCCTAATGGAAGGATGAGGGGGTGTCTTGGTTCCTGTGTGCAACACTGGGGCAGGGCCGGTCTCTCCGCCACCTCTGCCCTGCACCTCCACGATGCTGGACCTCAACCAACTCTGTGGTGGGCTTCCAGACGCAGGGGGGAGTAGGCTGAGGACAGGTGTGCAGGGGCAGAGGGAGAGACTGGGGCAGTCCCAATCCCACCTGTTGATCCTGCAGGGTCCCCAACATCCCCTCCCTGAGCCCCAGTGGAGGGAGGTGGGAGAGGAACCAAGGGGTGGATGAAGAAGAGGACACTGTGCCCGAGACAGTCCTGTGTCTGGTCTCGACTGGCCTCCAGGGTGCTGTGTGCCCTCAGATGAGCCCCTGGCCGACTGTGCCTCAGTTTTCTCCTACGTGAAGTCGGGAGGACAGACCTCCCTACACCAGATTCAGAATGTGACTACAGAGGTTCAGAAAAGCAGCCGTCCTCCTGCCACCTCTGCCTGCAGGGGGCGCGTCAGCCTCACCTCAGTCCAGCGAGGGGAGGACCAGACTCCGGAAGCACCGCGCATGCTCAGAGGGGCAGGGGCGTGCCCGGAGCCGACACCTGCCTGATATTAGCATCAGTACAATCCAGGGGGTGTCCTCATGTTCTTTTCTGTCCTTTTCTGAATGTTCAAAAGATTTCGCAAGTAACATTTTTTTTTCTTTATTGAAGTCTACGTGACAAATAAAAATTGTATTTATTTATGGTGTCAGTGTGACGTTTTGATGGATGCACACAGGGTGAAATGTTAACCACCATCAAGCTAATTAACATATACATCACCTTGAATAATTACTTCTTTTTGCAGTGGGAACATTTAAAGATCTACTTTCTCAGCAATTTTCAAGTACAGTATACAATATATTATTATTAACTATAGTCACCATGCTGTGCAGTAGATCCCTAGAACGTATTTATTCCATCCAACTGCAATTTTGGACCTTTTGATCCAATCTGAATTTAATTAAAAAATTCTTAATTAAGAAAACCATTCTGGGCACGGTGGCGCATGCCTGTAATCCCAGCGGCTCCGTAGGCTGAGGCAGGAGGATGGTGAGTTCAACGCCAGCCTCAGCAATTTAGATTGGCCCTAAGCAAATCAGTGAGACCCTGTCTCTAAATAAAATATAAAAAAGGGCTGGGGATGTGGCTCAGTGGTTAAGCACCTCTGGGTTCAATCTCTGAGATCCTTACCAAAAAGAAAAAAAGAAAAACCAAACAAACCAACATGGCATAATTTGGGTTCTCCTGACGCCCAGCTCCAGGCTGCCTGTGGGGAGTTCCCTCTGTGGCTTGCTTGAGCCTTGTGGGTGGACTGGGCCATCTTCCTGGGACGCTGTCACCTGTCTCTGCACCCTTCACATGTGGCCCCTCGTCGGAGGACTCTGTGAACAACTTCAGAGACAGCTGGCTGAGGACAGGTGTGCAGGGGCAGAAGGACAGTGACTTAGCACCTGGGACTCTGCCCCAGGGTGTGGGTCAGGCCTGGGGCAGTGGCAGAGAAGGAAGTGACAAAGGAGCTTGGCAGACCTCCAAAGGTCACAGATAAACCACACAGGTCACAGCACTCAGGTCTCACTGAACAGATGGGAGGCTGAGACACAGAAGGCACAAAGGACTTGTCAAGGTCACGGAGGGAGGTGTTGGGGTCAGGTTTCTACCACTGACCTCCTTTCCCACTTGTTCTTCAATTGCTGGAGTCCCGAGGCTTCCCCTTGACACTGTCCTGCGACCCCCAGACCTAGGCTGGCCTCTGTGCCTGCCATCTGGGCTTGGAGGTCTTTGGAGTCATGGGGAGTCTCCCGAGGAGCTATCCCGAGGAGCAGGCGTCCACGCCTACCCAAGTATTCTGGGATGCCTGTGTCTCTGGACGAACCTTGGCTGACCTTCCTGATCTGGGGTACCTGGAACAGTCTGAGATGACCTGTGGGCTGGGCTTCAACTGGGGACTGGCTCCAGGCTGATCGGCAGGACCTGGGGTGGGGACAGACAGGGAACAGAGCTCTGGTCCTAATCCCCTCTTGGTTCTTTAGCGGTGGGGAAGAGACCCCGGTTTCCCTTTCTGATAGGAAGGATCCACCAGAAGCTACTCAAGAACTTGGCGCTCCTTCAGGACCGAGCACCTTGGGTGGCGTGGGGGGCCGGAGCCAGCTTCCACCTGGGATCGTGTGGGAAAGGAGACAGTCAGCTGGGTG